AGTCCTGATTCGAGTATCTTTCCAATTTTAAGAAATAATTAAGTGATAACCAGCAAGGGCGTGACCGGATGAGATCCATATCGAAAATAAAAGGACGCTTTGTGTTGGAAAATGTGGAGTAGATTTCGGAGTAGCATCCAGTAGCCATGTCACGTTTGTGGCACATCTTGGTAAGCCCGTTTGAAGTATTTTAGTGTACCCTCGTGATGGAACAGAGTGGACAGGAATTAGAAATGGAAGACAGTAACAAGGGAGTGCTAATCTAGAACATAGTTAGGATTAGGAAGAAAATTAAGATTTTTATGAACATGTAATGAAACAACTTAATTGTTAAATTTAACTAATGCTGTGGCAATGTTGTGTTAATAGTTAATGGTTATATCAAATAAATGTACTAGACATCAAGGTCATATTGTGTTAGATATAACTTCTTTATTAACAGTTAATGAGAATAGATAGGTTAGTTTATAAGTGTAATTATATAATAAAATGTATTCTTAGATTGAAAGCTCAGCGGAAGTGTGTAGACAGTGACGAGTCCTGTTATTTTCCGACGGAGCGTAAGATTGATTTTTTTTTCTATCAAGTATTTTCATTTGTCATGCTTATTACCTTTACTTGCTTGATGTTTGATTCATATACTCACATAGAAGTATAACTTAACTTGAATTTGTTATAATTAACTATTTGCTTTTCTGATGATATATTTTCTCTTAATATAATATTAAATTCACTGATCATGTTTACAATGACTATTTGCTTGTCAAATGTTCATGATTATTTCGTGTAATATCTAATCCATTTATTAGCTTTGAAATATGAATAGTAAATTACTCTTATAGTGATGTTTTGTTTTATAACATTAAATTCATGAAGATATAACGTAACTTTGAATATTGTTGGTTCTGTTTCCACCAAGTTCCATGACTGATATTTATACAACAGTGAGTCATAACTGTCTATTTGTATTTAAAGAGTTAAGAACTCAAATATAATCTATCTTTTGTTTCAAGTAAAGTTTGATATTGTAATTTTATTATATTGCATTGATAATATTCAGTTAATAAATGTATTGATTTATTTTACGAAGATTTAACTCAAACCTTGAATTGCACTAAATAATAATATTTACATTGTCACTTTGAAATTATAAGTTACATAATTCAAAGTTCTTAATATAATATTAAGAACTTTAAACATTTATTGATCTAACGAAATAAGTCCTGATAATGAAGAGCATTTAATAAAATGTTGTGGAATAGGGGGCCACAACACCCGCCCATCAGCGAGGATCCACTCTCCCTGACTGAAGAGTGGCAAAGCAGCAGGTGTTTGTGGCATCCCAGCTGAATTGTTAAAGGCTGGTGGAGAACCCATGGCAAGGGCCTTGCATGCAGTCCTGTCTGTCATCTGGCAGACCGGTACCATTCCCCCTGACCTGCTGAGAGGTGTGGTCATCCCTCTTTGGAAGGGGAAAGGGGATTGCTGGGACTGCAGCAATCACCGAGGCATTACACTACTCAGTGTACCAGACAAGGTACTTGCGCACATCCTACTGAGACGTATCAGAGGCCACCTACTGAGGCACCAAAGACCGGAGCAATCTAGATTCACTCCTGGTAGGTCAACAATAGACCGCATCCTGGCGCTTCGAGTCATTGTAGAGCGCCGTCGTGAGTTCGGGACGTGGGCTGCTCGCAGCCTACATCGACCTCAAGAAGGCATTTGATACGGTGCATCACGAATCACTCTGGGAAATCGTGAGGCTAAGAGGAATTCCAACAAGGATTGTTGGACTAAAAGCAAACCTGTATACAGGCACTGAAAGTGCTGTAAAGTGTGGTGGGGGCCTGTCGAGCTTCTTCTCTGTTAGTTCAGGCGTGAGGCAAGGCTGTGTTCTTGCTCCAACACTTTTCAACACTTGCGTGAATTGGATACCGGGTAGAGCTACTGTCCAAAGTCACTGTGGAGCAACTCTGGGCAATATCAAGGTTACACACCTTGATTTTGCTGATGATGTTGCCATTCTTTCTGAATCTCTGGAAACCCTAGTGGCGGCTCTTGATGCATTTAGCAATGAAGCGAAGCCCCTGGGGATAGAGGTCTCCTGGACCAAGACCAAGATCCAGGATTTTAGGGGCCTACTAGGAGACCCTGTGCAGTCGGTACCTGCTTGCGGTGAAAACATCGAAGTTACAGAGAGCTTTATATACCTCGGTAGTGTATTTCACGACTCGGGGCTGTCAGACCAAGAAGTCAGTAGACGGATTGGCCTGGCAGCAGGGGTCATGAAATCTCTCGACAAGCGTATTTGGAGATGCCGGTACCTGTGCAGAAGGACCAAGCTATGTGTTTTCAAGGCCCTGATACTGCTAGTTTTACTATATGGTAGTGAAACCTGGACACTATCTTGTGCTCTGGAATCTCGTCTTGATGCCTCTTGTAACAGATCCTTGTGCTGGATCATGGGGTACAGTTGGCGGAACCATGTGTACAATCA